GGGGTGGGGGGGTCGACCCGCAACCTACCCCCCCTCCCCTCCCCCCTCCCTTCCCCCCCTTCCACCCCCCCCCACACAAACAGGTAATACATACCTGTCCAAATGAGCCCTCTCCAAGCACTGTCCTGAACTCAAAGTCCTCCCTGTACCGCTTTCGCGAGTCTGCCATGGCTCTCGGCTTCTGCTGCTGCTCGAGTGCAGCTAAAAGTCCCGAGTTGCGTGTTGGCTATTGGCTGCTGGCTGCTGGCACCCGAGTGTGTCAGGACCACTTCGAGCTGCAATCGCTCAGCTGGCTGTTCCGCGACCGGGTTTATCACCACGCACATTCTCACTCACTCGTCGTCAGTGTCCATGTCAAGAGGCGAAAAGACGAGCGCGACCCGCGGCGAGCGCCGGGCAGACGACGGCGAGGCCGATCGGGCGGCCGAGGACCGGAGGAGCGATGCCCGTCTACGCTTGACAAGCGGCGATACCGAGTCGTGCTGCCTGGCTGGTGGATAGAGCGAGGCAATCGACGAGCTGAGCGCGCTTTCCAGCTCCAGCGGTGACGAGAGCCGCAGCTCGCGCGTGCTCTCCAGCGAGCTGGACAGGCCGGCAGTCTTGGTACCGATATCCATGGGGGTCGGCGAGGCTGCCGTCGCAGCCGCCGAGCTCGGGGGCGGCACGTTGTCGTCAGTCTGGTCGTGGATGAAGAACCGCTCCAGCGACGAGAGTGGGCGCTTGATGGGCGTCGGCTTGGTCGAGAGCGCCACGGCCGAGATCTCGAGCGGGCTCGCCTCCGAGGTGGCAGCAGCAGCGCTGTCCATCGGCTCTCCGCCCTTCAGCGGACGAAAGTAAGAGGTGACGAGCCCGGCTGGGCCTGCCGGCGCCGCCGCCGGAGGAGGCGGTTCGCAGTTGAAGAACTGCGTGATCGACGCCTGGCCTCCGCCGCCAACGTCCCCGCCGGTCGGGTTGCTGCGGACCAAGCCGGCGGTCGGCGAAAAGAGCGGCGAGAAGAGCGGAGACGACTGACCGTCGCGCGCCATGGTCGGCGAGAGCCGCGCCAGCCGCGGTGACGGCACCCGCCGCGCAGCCAATGGCGAAAAGGTCGGCGACGCCGGCGGGAGCTCGGACGCGGCTTCGGCAAGCATGGGCGGCAAGGTGCACGCAGCTGCGTCGTCAAAGCCGGACGTCGAATACAGACTCACCCACTCGGGGAGTGGCGCATCCGCCGCCGCATGCTCGGGCGACGGTGCAAGGTCCCACACGCGCACCGTGTTGTCATCTGAGCCCGACGCGAGCTTGAACGGATCGGCTGCACACCCATCCACCGCGGTCGACTCGGTATCGTGGCCGCGGAGGACCATGAACGGAAGCAGTGCCGACGAGGAGCCCGGTCCGACTTTCGCTGCCGGGGCGTTGTAGTTCCACAGGTACACGCCGCCGTCTGACGAGCCTGAGACCACAAACTCGCCTGACGGCATGAACGCGCTCTTGACGTAGAACGACCGCGTCCGATGGCCGAGCAGGAGTCGCGGTTGCGCCGTCGCAGGCTCGGCAAGCATGTCCGCCATCGAGTACACGTAGATCGACGAGGTCGTTGCCTGCGAGACCAGCACTGACGCTCCATCCGGCGACATGTCGAGCGCCACCAGCCCATACCGCGAGCTTGCCGCGCTCCCCGGGCCGCCGTCGACCAGCGACGGCGCACCAAACGGCGAAGGTAGCAGCGCCGCTACCGCCGCCCCGGTCGGCTTCCGCGCGCTTCGCAGCGCGCGCACGTCCCAGATCTTCATGAGACCGTCAATGGCGCCGGCCGAGAACAGCGTCACGTCGTCGGCTGCAAACCGGACCGCCGTCACCGACTGGTTCGCCTCCAGCTTGCGCATCCGCCGCGCGCGTTGATACCGCATGAGTACGTGCGCGTTCGGCACAGCAACAACCGGCCCGGCCTCAGCCGCCCGCGCGTCCCACAGCATGATGGCCCCGTCGCGCGCTGACGATGCCAGCAGCGACGGTGAGCCGGGTGCAAATGTCACAGACTTGACCGAGCCGCGATGGCCGGCAAGCACCTTTTTGCACAGCCCGGTCTCGGTATCCCAAAGCTTGCAGTTCTGGTCGCCCGACGCAGTCACAATTGTGCGTGCGTCGGCCGCCCACGCCAGATCAAAGATGGCGTTGTTATGCGCGATCCACCACTCGCGCTGCGTCGTGGCCTCATTGCGCCCGGCAGTGTCGAGCACCGTCACCGTCCCGTCCTCGTCGGCAACCGCCAGCAGCGAACTCGATGCCCCGCGCCCAGCGAACTTGACTGCCGTCGGCGGCACCAGCGGAGCCGCCACCTGCGACGAGCCAAAGTCGCCCGATCGCGCCTCGGCAATCGACGGAAAGACATGAAGGCCGCGGGCGTAGCACGCGTACGCACCGGTGTATGCCGTTGCTGCAGACACTTGCGCCGCGAGACCGCCCCGGCCCCGCGGCCCACGCAGAGCACGCTGCGCCAGCGCGCGTCGCACAGACCCAGCACTCGCTCCAAGCCCTGCCCCACTTCTCACGCTAGCTGCAAACCAACCCGCAGCGGGTGTCCGCGTCGGCGACGCGTTTAGCGTCCTCGGCAGGCCCCGCATCCGGGTTCGGAAAAAGGTCGCAGAATCTACACCTTGCGGCCACAGCCCGTCCAGCCTCGTCCAACCGTGGTCTTGTGCTGCTCACCAGCGCAGTCCACGACAGGTATGAGAGCCCCACAATACCAAAGCACGTATTCTACTCTCTGTCCTCTCTACACTTGCCACCAACTGTCTTCCGCGTATGGCAGAGGAGAATGAATGTGTCGAGTGCAGAGGGGGGAGAGGGGGGAAGAGGGAGAGGTACCGAACCATTCACTCATTCGTTCGTTGCTTCGCGTGTTCGTTCTGTTGGGTCGATAATTCCACAACGGACACAATGAAAAGGAAGCGATGTTCCGAATCGTAACATTCATTGGTGATGATTGCTCGCCAGCAGGCCAGTCGGCCAGCCGGCCAGTCGGCTAGGAACGAACCCCACCACGGAGTGGCCTCCCTCGCCCCCCACCCCACTTACGATTGCTCACCACCTCGCTTGCATTCCAACAAGCCATGGTACGAGATGTGGTAGAGTGCAAGAAAGGAGAGGTAGGGAGGAAGTGTGGTAGATGCACTTACTTGTGGGCTTGGGGCTGGTGTGCGGGGTACTTGGTGCGGGGTCGTTGGCGGAGACGGACGGATAGGTGCAGACGGCATGGGCGACCAAGCTCCGGGATAAGCTGCTGCGGCTCAACCGGGTCTCCAAAGCCTTTCTCATCTGTACGTTGCAGTGGAGTAGGGGGGGGGGGGGGGGGGGGGATGAGATCGGAGGCTGCGGCTGGGTAGCAACAGAGAGGCACTTCCACACTCACACCGCGTTCCTCCCAAACCCAACCCGGGGGCTTCAGTGGCTACTGCCGACTGTTTCATCATCATTGTGCTGGCGCTGCTGCAGCTGATCACGGGCTACACCACAGTGGGGACGTCGACGACGGACAAGTCGATCGGTGAGAACGGTGTGCCGCGATATGTGTACTGGTCGATTCTGGAGATCCTGACAGTCTGCTTCTTCTTGTACTTTGCGTGGGACTCTGTCCTCACGGAGAATGTGTTTGAGCTGTGGGCTTTTCAGATCGCCACCTTTCTGGCCTCGGTCTATGCAGTCATCCAGTACTACTCGGTGGAGGAGGAGAACAACACAGTCGGTGCCTTCCAGCTCGCGGTTATTCTCACGTTCCAGGTCTGCTTCTGGGCGCTATCTTACACTTTGCATCGATCGTTTGGCTGGTGGGTCTTCCGGCGCCTCGGCGCCGACATCGAGCTCAAGTCGATGTACAAGAACTACCAGCTTTTTCTGGCCCAGGTCAAGTTTGACCTGCAATTTGGCCTGCTGCTGGTCATGATGTCGACGTTTTTCTTTGCCGCCGCCTCGCCTGTCTTTGTGTTTGTCGAGATTGTCATGCTTGCCTTTACCATTTTCTACGCCACCCTTGGCATTCGCGGCATCCAGCGCGAGGACCGCCGGCTCATGCACTGGTTCTTTGGCCTCGGCATCATCGCGCCCATCAACATTGTCATCAAGGCTGTACTCATTGCCAGCGATCCCGATGACTACGGCGCCAACGCGCCGTACGCTCAGATGGCCGTCACCGCCTCGCTTGCCATCATCAACCGCATCACCGTCATGATCAACGGCAAGCGCGCGTACGAAAACTTTGGACGCGGCCTTCGCGAGAACGCGTTTGACCACACCAACGACGACGACGCCGCCGAAGCGCCCGAGGCCATGGACGTGGCGCTGCTCCCGGTCTTTGACACGCCGTCATCCAACGCTGTTGCTCGCGGCCGCCACTCGTCGCTTACGGTCCAAGACTACGATCCCAACCTGGTTGACGCGTCGGCGCTCTTCCAGCCTACGCTCGAGAGCTGATCTGCGCGCTCATACACTCATTCAGCCTTTTTTTGCGCCAGACGTGGCCGATCCGCCGGCCCGAGTCCACCGCAGGGCACTCGGTTGCGAGACCGAGGAGTACCATTTGGGCTTGGAAGGCGGCGGCGGCGCCTCGGCTCGCTTCTTGATGTCCTCAGCCCGGAACCGCGCGAGCGCCGCCAGGTTCTGCTGGAGCTGTGGGTGCTTGCGGAGGAGGACGCCGAGGTTTTTGGACGGGAGCTTGAGGAGCGTGACGTGGGTCACTGCCGACACATTGGCCGACCGCTTCGAGCCCATGAAGACCGCCATTTCGCCGACGAGCTGCCCGTCCGAGAGCAGAACGACGGGGCCGCGCGGAAGGTGGACTTGCAGCACGCCGTGCGCGACGTAATACATGTACTTGGACGCGTGCCCGGCCTTGAGCACCAGCGAGCCGGCCTCGAACTCTTCCACCGTCGTGTTGGCCACCAGATCATCGAGCACCTCGGGCGCATCGAGCTCGACGTGCATCCAGGTCGAGACTGGGAGCGAGTTGTAGGTGACAGGCAACCGCCGCCGCGGCGGCTTGGCGTCGCGCGGCTCGAGCTCAAGCGAGCGCGCAAACAGCGTGTCCTCGTCGATGCCGGCTGCCGAGCGGAGAAAGACCTGGATGTCCTCCACGGCGTGGTACTCGTATGGCGCAGCCTGCAGCCGGAGAAGCTCGTTGATGACGCCGGCGTTCATGGCGTGCTTGGCCATGTTGATGAGATTGTGCGGCGCCACCAGCGATGGGTTGCCGTCGTCGATAAAGACCAGGTCCTGCAGAAAGACGCCGAGGTACGGGACTGCCGGCGCCTGCTGGCGCCGTAGCGCCTCACGGTATGCGTGGTAGTTGTGGTTCATCGACAGCGCTCGCTTGAGATCATCCCAGTGCTCGGTATACTCATCGGGCACCAGCGCCCACGAAAACTTGAGCCGGGACACTGCTGCGCCCTGCAGGCCCGATACCAGCGCCATCATCGCCGAGTAGTTGCCCAGCTGCTGGCACTCGCGCGCCACGTCGACCAGCATGCAAATGAGGACCGCCCGCTCGTCCGCAGTCTCGCCCATCAGCACCTGCGTCATCGCCCACGATGACGTCGCGTTGAATTGGTCGATAAGACCCTGGATGTGCGGCGCGCCGCGCCGTGAGTCCGGCTTGACGAAAGCCTGTCGAAGCAGCTCCTTCCGCTCCACCCTTACAAACATGGCAAAGTCTATGAGCGCCAGCTGGCGTGCAACCTCAATCGGGTGGACCTGAACCAGCGACCGGAGCGGGCCTGGGTCAAGGAGGAGCGACTGCGGTGCCCGCGGTGCGAGCACAAGCCTGCTCGCCGGCCGCGGCTCCTGCGCCTGCTCTGCCTCGCGCCGCACAAGCTCCCAATCGATGGCGCCTGCACGAAGCGCCTGCCCCAGCGGCGTGCACGCCAACATACTCTCCCGCGGCAGCTCGCCCACCAGTGCCAACACAAGCGAAGCTGCCTCGAGCATCTCGCGGGCAGCGGGATCGGTCGCGTTTTCCAGCGTCCGCTCCAGAAACCGCCCCAGTCCGGCACGGAGCGACGCTGCGTCGTTGCCGCTAAAGTCCTCCGAGAACCGCACCAACCACTCGAGAAGGACGGCGAGGACCTGCTGCTGAAGCATCGGCTGGACCGAGGCCAGGAAGAACGGCAGATCGCCAAGATCGACCGGCAACGAAAAGTACCGCGCCACAAGAAGCCGCAGAAACTCGCCCGCATCCATAAACTCGGGAAAGGTCGCCAGCGTCACATTGGTCAGCGCCACGTCGCGCTGGCTCGGCGCGGTGATCCGCCGAATGAGAAGATCAATGTCGATGGCCTCCACCTCCATCACAACTCGCTTCGGCTCGTACCGGTCGTGCCAGTACGGCAGCCGGCGCGGGAGGACAAGCTTGGACACCCGCCGTGGTGCCTTGGATCCTTGCGTCGTCTCGGCACCTGAGCCCGAGCCCCTAACGTCCAAGCCCAAGCCCGAGTGAGTGCTGTCACAGCGCGGCATGGGGCCTGTGCCAAAGTCGGTGCTCTGTGCCCGCGCCATCGCACGAGCCGAGAGGCAGTGCCGCCACCAGGTTTGAATGTAAACGGCCGCGCCCCAGCGGAGCGGGTCCGACACCCCGCGCTTGCCCATAAACTGGGCGCAGAAGAGAATGAGCGCGTTGCGGGCCCTAGTCCGCATCAGCCGCTGCACTAGAGACGAGAGGTGCTGGTCAACGCTCCGCGATCCGGCCTTGGCGTGCGGGCCGACAAGAGCCACGACCTGAGCCAGCGCGTCGGGAGAGCCTTGGGCAGCGGCGTGCGCAATCGATAGTGGGTCTGCACTCCGCAAGTACGCCATCGACAGCGCGTCCGGTGACGCCGGCTCGAGATCCGGCACCTCGTCAAGGGCGTCGACCGAGGCCGACAACTGCGCCTCCTTGGCAAGTTGGAGCTCGCGCCGGAGTTTGCGCTCGCGCTCCTCCTTCTGCGACCGAACGTCGGCGGCCATCATGATCTGCAGCGGCTCGAGCACGTCAGAACGCAGCTCCGCAAGCGAGACGTCGGCGGCCTCGAGCGCCGGTGCCGCCACCGCAATGGTGCGGCGGAGCGCAACTTGGTGCGCAGAGACAATGACTCGCATCTGCTGCACATCGCGGAGGAGAAGCTCACGGTCGTCGCGAAGCTGGCCCATCACGCTCTCCATCTGCTCGACCGTCGCCAGTGTCGCCTTGGCCTTTTCGTCAAAGCCAAGCGTTTCGAGGTAAGCGACGCGGGCATCCGCCTTTTCACGAGCACGGGCGGCCATGGCCGCCGACGATCGTGCCATTCCCATTCGGTGGTTGAGCTGGGCCACCTGGGTCTGCAGCTCCTGGACGTGGGCCTTGAGCGAGCGGTTCTTGTGGGTGGCCTTGTCGAGCGCCTCAGCTGATACCGCGGCGCCGGCCTTGAGCTCCAGCTGTGCTTCAGTCAACCGCTCGACGGCGTGCTCAGCCTTGGCCCGCGCCGTGCGCTCTTCGGCGAGAGCCATCCGCAGCGCATCATTCTTGTTTGCCAGCTGCTGCATGACCTTGACTGTCTTGGCATTGGCAGACTTGGTCTGACCCTTGAACTTGGTCAGCTGGTCCTTGCGCTTGGTCAACTTGGCCTTCAGCCGCGCCACCACGCTCTGGTACCGCTGGATCTCGGCTCGCATCGACTTCATGGCCAATGCACGGGACGAGACGTCGTCTACGGCCGAGAGTGAGCCCTTTCGCCTCCCTGCCCCGTTGGATCCAACAGACGCAATTGAGAGCCGCCGCCGTCCGCCGCCAGGGTGCGGCAGCTTCACTAATGACAGCTCCGAGTCGGACGACGAGATGGAAATGGTGTCGTACGAGACGTCAAGCCTACCGCCGCGGCGGACACTCCGGGTCCCCCCGAGAACAATCGACGAGAACAACAGGTACTCGTCGACCCGGTCCTTGGCAGCCCAGTCGACAGACGAAAAGGCAAAGAGGTCAGCGATGCTAAAGTAGCGGAAAATTCGGAAGAGGAGGGGGAGCGGAAGCACCATCGCCGGATGCTGCGGATTGAAGCACTTGCTCGGCGGAAAGGCAAAAGCGTTGTGCCGAAGGTACTCGGGGATCGACGGCCCATACAAGACCACCGGCTGCGCTCCAAACTCGGACGCAGTCAGCGCCTTGGCCGACCGCACGTTCTCTCGGAGAAGCAGCGCCTCCCGCTCGAGATCTGTCGAGCTCAGAGAGTGTCTGCGGACCGAGTTGTGCGACGAACGGCGACCGCCGCAACCGCCGGTCTTGCTCGGCGGAAAGAGGCCACGATTGCGGGCTGAAACGCCGCCACAGCCCGAACCATCGCCGGCGCCGTCCACTCTTGTGCCCTCCGACTCGGCTTCTGGAAACTCGGGTGCCAGCATCGACGAGTGCGGCGAGAGGATGTGAAAGGCCGGCGAGAGCCGCGGGCCAAGCGCCAGAACCGACGGATGCGGCGCCGTCCGCCTCGCCGGCACCTTGAACACCATGCGAGCCAGTCGCGGGTGGTCATCCAGCGGTTCAGCCACAGGCCGCCCAGGTCCACCCAACACTGCTGGCACATGCTCCGCCTCGCCCTTGAACGATGGCCATGACTTTGGAGCCGAGCCGCGCGGGTTGGTGAGGTGCGTCCAGGTCTCCAGGTCTGCCAGCGGTTCTCCCTGTCCAGCCATGCCGTTGCCGTGTGTAGGACCAGGGTGGGTAAGGCGGCGGCGGCGGCGGCGGGGGGAGCCGAGTGTGCCAACGTGTCACCAACAGTCCGAGTACTGCGTGAGCTCACTGCCGTCAGGCGCATGGCGGGTGGCGGCCGGGTTGGCTGGCGGTGGTTGACAAACGTGCGTGGGTGACTGATGACATTGAGGACAACACAATCATTCACAACGCGCCTGAAGCATGGTGCGCAGCAGGCGATCCCGACAAAGGTGGCCCGGCCCACAAGGAAAGAAGAGCAACAGCGCTGACTGAATTGTAAACAATCGGCATGACGATTGGCCAGGAAGACCGCATCGATTCACCCAGCCCGTGCAAGCTTTGGCCCTGCCGCACCTTGTGCCTAGTCGTTGCAGAGTTTGTGATTGGCAGTCGCGACCGCCAATGAGCAAAGACCACGCAGCGACGGCTAAATAGCCACCTCTACAAACCCCCGCCACAGCCTTTGGTGGCAGGTACCACAGCACTCCAGGGTTCCTGGGGAAGAGTTGAGGAAGACAGACTTGAACGCGTGCCTCCTCCGCAACACCCTTCCTACCATCCACCGTCCCCCCCCCCCCCCCCCCCCCCCCCCCCCCTCCCCCTCCCCCTGTCGACCTGGGCCTTGTGCTGCCCCGCCCACCGGTTGCTTGGCGCAAGGTTCCGCAGGTGATCACGGCCGCTGGCGGCGAGTCGGGCGAGTAGTTGTAGACAATGAGCTCGTCATCTCCTCCGCCCGAGTTGGCTGAGGAGGTAGATCAACCGCTACAGACCTCGATCTCGGGCATGCTCAGTGACGAGGGCTCGTCGTTTATGGCCGAGCTGCAAGCGCTTGTCTTGCACAAGACCAACGCCGTTCTCGCCACGTTGCGAGGACGGAGCTCGGGGCAGGTGACCAACTTTACCAGGTACGCAAGACAGCGAGGAGGGGGAGACCGAGAAGGGCGAGAGGAACACCAGGAAGACGACATACTCACAGGATGAGGGAGGCGGGGAATGGTAGCGATTGGCTGTCGGGCAGCACGCTATCGGACTTGCTGCGGACGGAGCTCGAATCAGAGCTGGACAGGGTCGAGTCGGTGGCGTCGGACCCGGCATCGCGGCGGAACCTGCTCAAGGCGCTGCTGCTGGAGCATGGGTCGGCTCTGGCTATTGAGAAACTGTGGATCGAGATGATTCCGGACGCACTCGGTGTAGATTCGGTGTGGACGCTCATGTTTGTCTCGCACTTGCTGACGGGGCTTCGGCTGCGGCACGCCAACAACCAGCTGGCCGTGATGAAAACCTCTCAGGCGTTGTCGTTCTCGATGGCGTCGACGAGCGCGGAAGGTGGCAATGACTTTGGTGCAAGCACAATTGTGACGACGTCGCCAAGTCGGATCGAGGACGATCGCGAGATGCGTTCGATGAACAAGAACCAGCTACTGAGCAAGATCGACGATATGTATGTGTCGCACCAGGCTGACTTGCAGTCGCAGGAGCTGCGATTTAAGCAAGCGCTGGTGGCGAAAGAGAAGATACTGCAGAAGACGCAGGCAGAGCTTTCGCGGCTTGTTGCTGATAACAACCGGTCGCAGGCTATGTTCCGCAACGCAATGGCCGAGGCACAGGACTTGGCCAAGGAGTTCAAGCAGTACACTCGCAACGTTCAGAAGAAGCAGGCAGCGATGGCCAAGGCGCAGGCGTCGGGGAAGGAGGTGGCGCCTCCGCGCGGAACGGTGACCCTAATGTTCACCGACATTCAGGGCTCGACGCGGCAGTGGGAGCGGTCGAACGATGTCATGGCCGAGTCACTTGAGATCCACAACAAGATTTTCCGCAAGATCCTTCCCGAGTTTGGTGGGTACGAGGTCAAGACCGAAGGCGACGCGTTTATGGTCTGCTTCCAGTCTGCGGTCGACGCCGTGATGTGTGCCAACGCGCTGCAGCGGTCGCTCATTCACTGCGATTGGCCGCCAGAGCTGCTTGTCGACAACCCGGACGCCAACATCGAGCGCAATGAGGCGGGCGTCATTGTCTTTCGTGGCCTCCGAGTCCGCATGGGCTTGCACATGGGTGAGCCCAAGGCTGCCATCGACCCGACAACCAAGCGCATGGACTATTTCGGCCCGGTCGTCAACCGGTCCGCACGAATCGAGGGCACGGCTGTCGGCGGGCAGATCATGATCTCAGAGCCGCTGTACCAGGCTATTGCCGACCATCTCGAGGACATGAACTCGCCCGAGATTGTGGACAAGGGTGAGTTCAACCTCAAGGGCCTTGCCGCGCCGATCCGGCTTTACCAGGTCACTGACAACGAGCTTGTGGGTCGCCAGTTTGGAGTGACCAAAAAGAAAAAGTCGCTTGCGACGCGGATCGCCAACATGGGTCCGTCAACCGACGCCCTGGTTATGCCGTCGGACGTCGACGCCGACGTCGCCGGACAATCACTGGAGCAGCTCTCACTGACGTCTGCAGACGTGTTTTCGCGGCTGGAAACGCTCAAAGCCAAGCTCAACAAGAGCTCGACGACTGCGAGCCAGCTGTCGAGTACTCTGGAGCAGCTGCAGGCAGAAGGCATCGAGATGGGTAGGTCATCGATGGTCCGAATGGATATCTCACGCATACGGCAGGACGTCGACGACGCCATCGAGATGCTCAAGGCGGTCAAGGAGTCGAACACCGATCTCGAGTCGCGAGTCGATGAGATGGAAGAGGAGCTTGTTGCCATCAAGTACAAGATCCGCTCTCTCGACAAGCAGATCAAGCCGCTGAAAGAAGGCGCCGGCGTGGTGACCGCCTACTTGCGGCAGACGCGGGCCAACGCGGCGGAAAAGTCCGAGGTCAAGGCGCTCAAGTCAGAGCTCCGGGCCGCGCGCAAGGCGCTTGACGCGCTGGAGAAGGAGTCCCGAACCCGGAGCCGCGAGCGTGTACCGCGCTCGCGAACCTCAACTGGTCTTCTCGCCCGCGAGTCGTCGATCAGCTCGGCCCGCCGCCCGCTTGGTGCGGCGGCACATACGCCGCTGCCTGCCCTCGGCGGACGAGGCAAGCGAGGCAGTCCGGGCTCGTCGCCGCTGGTGCGGCCGAGCTCGCCACGGGCGCGTACCGGCGCCGCGTCATCTGGGCCGAGCTCGGCCAAGAGCATGGGATCGTCGCGCGGCTCGTCGGCAACACTCTCCTGCGAGGAGCTTCACCGACCCATGGAGACCTCGCACCCAGTCGTCTCGGGCGAGTCGCGGTCGACGTCGTCAGGCACCTCGGGCTCGTCGCTCTCTTCGTGCAAGACGTCCGACTCAGAGTGTGGATCGGCAGCCAAGTCGTCGGGAGCACCTCGTGCCAAGCCCCGTAGCCGGCTGCCACGAGGTGGCAAGCGTAAGCGCAAGCTGAGCAAGACGCCGCTCTCGCATTCGACTGGCTCGATGAGCTCGTCGGTGGCGTCAACCAACTCAGCCAAGATTCAAGCCCACAAGCGGTCACCGTCGGACAAGCCACGGTCGATGAGCTCGCGAGTTGACGAGGGAGACGACGACTCATCGATTGATCTCTCGTCAGTCTCGTTTCCATCATCAGGAAGCAGCGACGAGCGGCGAGCGGCGGTGGCGGCCAAGTCTTGCGTGATGTCGTCCAGCTCTTCGTCGTCGCCAGCTCCGCAGTACAAGTCCCATGACGGATCTGGCGCGGATGGGGCGCCGCAGCGAAAGCGACCCAAGGTTCGAGTCAAGACCAAAAAGGCCGAGTCGGGCAAGTTTGACTCGCGATCAGTGCCATCGTCTGCCGTTGGCACACCGCGACGTCGGTCGGGCTCTCGGCCGGTTACGGAGATGGTCAACTACAGGTCTGCAGAACAGGTGCTTCCATCGCGAAATGCGGGCGGCTCGCACGAGCTGCTCACGTCGCTGGAGAGCACGTCCGCCACCATTGGCATGCGAAAGTCTGCCTCGCGCGACATCCTCATGTCGCCGTCGGCCCGAGCTGCCGCAGGGTTCAGTAGCTCGGGCTCTCGGTCGCGATCGCAGTCGCGGCATGGAGTGGACCGGTCGGGCGGGGCGCTCATGTCTCCGGTGTGTGGGCCAAATGGCGTTCCGCTGAGGAACCGGTCGACATCATCCCAGTCGGCGTCTCGATCGCCCAGCCGGCATAGCGGGGCATCGCCGGCTGGGCGGATGTCGCCTGCCGGACGCGGGAGTCAGATCGTCAAGGCGCACCGCGCCCGGCATCCGCGCGGAGCGGGGTTTAAGCTCGGCACGTCCAGCTCGGAAGAGGTTCCGGCCTCGGTCCAGGCGAAGAAGACCAAACGACGACACCGCAACCGAGCGCGATCGATCTCGGGCGGAGCCGAAATGGCACGCGAGGTTGCCAATGCTGCCAAGGCCACGTTCCACGCCATTCCCGAGCATTCGGCTCCGCGCTCGTTTCAAGCTCTCGTCGACTCGGCAAGCCCGCTCTCGCAATCGCTTGACAGTCGTGCCACCCGCAGCCAAAAGCACAAGGTCCGGACCAAGGTCAAGGCCAAGAGCAAGCACAAGGACAAGACCAAGACCAAGGACAAGCACAAGGACAAGCATAAGGAAAAGAAGCTCAAGTCGAAGAGCGGCAAGACCAAGCTCCGGGTCAAGACTCGCTCGCACAGCCGGGCGGGCTCGAGCGGCGGCGAGGCCATCGACAGCGCAACGTCGCGCAGCCCACCGGCGCGGCAGCTCTCGCGACGATCATCTCGCCGCTCGCCGGTGCAGTCGAGCGGTGTCGATGTCGATGCCGGCACCGGTTCTGTCCTGGATCTCGGCGACTTTTGAACTGTGTGAATGAAAAGAGAGTGCAATGAGCTGTGCGGCAAAACGACCGACCGCCGGAGACGGGACAGTGCGGGCCGTGGCACGCCGAAGCTAGGACAACAGGACGTCTCCCACACGGATTGAGAGCACAACTCTCCCCTCGAAGCGAGCTCTCGACAAAAGGCAAGACGACGACGATGGCAGGCGAGGCACGGCGCGAGTTTGACGTGGTGGTATGGGGCGCGACGGGGTTCACCGGCTCGCTGGTGGCCAAGTACCTGGCGACGTATCACCCGCCGGGCGGTGGCTCTGGAAGCGTCGGAGCGGCGCTGGCTGGCGCCGATGATGCGAGTCGACCGCTGTCGTGGGCGGTTGCTGGGCGGTCGCCAGGCAAGCTCGAGACGCTTGTGAGCGAGCTGGCTGCCATCAATCCGGCGTGTGCAAAAGTGCCTGTGGTGATCGGCGATGCCACCGACCGCGCCTCGCTCGACGCCATGGCTGCGCGGACGAGCTGTGTTGCGTCGACGGCCGGTCCGTTCTTCCGCTTCGGCACCGAGCTGGTCCGGGCCTGCGTGGCTGCTGGCACGCAGTACTGCGACATCACCGGTGAGTCGCCATGGGTCCGCGCCATCATTGATGAGCTCCATGAAGAGGCCGAGGCCAACAACGCGCTCATCGTCTCGTGCTGCGGATTCGACTCGGTTCCGGCCGATCTCGGCGTCCACATGCTTGTCCGGCACGTGCAAGACCACCATGGGATCTCGCCCGGGACAGTGACGGCAGGAGTTGGTGTGGCTGGCGGTGCGTCCGGCGGTACCATTGCGTCGATCATCAACCTGATGGACAACGCCGACCTGCGACTCTTTGCAGACGCCTTTCTTCTCAACCCGCGCGAGAACAAGCCACGGCTCGCCGACCGCGGAATTGGTGCCGCCTTTGAGGCCGATCGGAAGGGCGTGGCGTGGGATCAGCTGCTGGAGACGTGGACCGGCCCGTTTCTCATGGCCGGCGTCAACACCCGCGTGGTGAGGCGGTCGGCAGCGCTTGCCGAGCAAGCCGGCAAGCCGTACGCACCGGTCTTTCGCTACAACGAGGCCATGCGGTTCCGCTCGTGGTGGACCGCGATGATGGCCACGTCCGTCCTCAGTATCTTCGGCATCATGCTCTACTTCCGGGCGACTCGGTGGCTGCTGATGAAGATCATGCCGTCCCCCGGCCAAGGCCCGTCCGAGGCCAAGCGCGACGCCTCGCACTTTTCCTACAACCTTGCCACTGAGTTGCCTGACGGCACCCGCGTCCGCGCCCGCGTTGCAGGTGGAGATCCGGGCTATACTGAGACATCCAAGATGATCGCCGAGGCCGCCATCGTCCTCTCTCGCTACAAGAGCTCGCTTCCGGTCAGCGGCGGCGTCGTCCCGCCAGCGTATGCCATGGGCGATGTCCTCCGCACTCGCCTTGTCGACGCTGGCATGACCTTTAAGATCGTCGACCCGTAGCGCCCCCTCCCTTCTCCTTCTCACATCAATCCAAATCAAAGCAGTTATCGTCTTGAGTCTTTGCCTCGCCTGACCTAGCTGGGGGGGGGGGGGGAAGAGGGAGCGCGGGCGACGAGCAACAAGTAACACTTGTCGCCTGTGGCCATGGTCAACGACCCATGCAAGGTATGCGGCAAGCCGCTGTACCTCTTGGATCCCAAGTATGTTCCAACTTGGGCACGGGCCTGAAGAGGGGAGTGGCCAGGGGGTGGGGGGGGGGGGGGGGGGGGAGTATGGCCTTGCGTGCATCCCTTGCAAGGTGAGCAAGGAGAGTGGGGGAAGGGGGTCAAGAAGGCTGAGGCAGCCATGCCCACACATGCCACACACACACACACACACACATATACACACAAACATACACGTCATGCACTCACTCGCACGCACGCCTTTGCTTGCTCCTAGGGTCGTGGTCGCTGGCGCAGCCGTCCACCGGGCATGCTTCCGCTGCTCGCGGTGCATGGGCAGTCTCAATCTGCGCAACTTTGGCTTGCGATCGAGCGGGGGCTCACTACAGCTGGCTTGCACTGATCACAAGGCAGAGTTGGAGGCAGAGGTAAAGGCCGCAGATGGCCAGGCGCCAAAGGCAACAGCATCTGCTCCACCGTCGTCGTCGTCAACAGCAGCGGCGGCGGCAACGACGGAAGCGACATCATCAGCATCCGGGTCGGCTGCTGCACCACCGCCCAACCCGAAGCCCGAGGCATCCAAACCGCCGCCAAACCCAAAGCCAGGTGCGTCCTCGCGGGTGGCGGCGGCAAAGCGGGAAACGTGGGGGAACAATGCAGCTAGGAAGACATCGTCGTACCACCAGATGGCTGCGCAGAGCTCGAGCCGCAGCAGCGGTTTTCGTTCGCAAGCACGCAGACCAACTACTATAGTAGCCAAGTCCAAGGTTGGGAGCTACATTCCGCCTGCACGAACGAGTATGCGCTCGTTTTCGATGGGTACGGCGTTGCGACCGGGAGCGAGCTCCGCCGCTACCGCCATGGCTGCCGAGCCGGCGATGGCCAATGGCCTGACAGTAAGCGAGGCTGCGGAAAAGGAGCCGAGCAGCGGGCCGATGGGCCTCTCGCTCGCCAAGCAGTATGACCACTTTGTTGAGAGCTGGGGACCTGTTGCTGTGGCCAAGTGGGAGGCCATGGCCGGAAAGGAGCGCAACCGGCAAATCTCCATCTACGAGCTTGTGCGGACCGAGCTCGGGTACGTGCGCGACCTGCAGGCCATCATTGACGGCGGCTACAATCCGCTGTCACTGGGCGAGCTGATGAGTGACGACGAGCTCTCTGCAGTCTTTTCCAACGTCACCGTGCTCTACGTCATGCATGCTAAGTTTGCCTCGTCACTGGAGACCGAGGTGTACAAGGCCTCTCCGTTTGCATCTGGCGTCGGAGCGCTGCTCGCTGACTTTGCGCCCAACATCCTGGTGTACTCTATCTATGCCAACGACTACCCGTCGGGATCGGCGCTGTTCGCGTCGGTTGTCGCAGAGCGGCCGGGTGTGCGCGAGGCATTGAGTGGTGACGGTGACAGCGATGGGGCTCGCAGCCTTCAGTCGCAACTTGTCAAGCCGATCCAGCGGATGTGCAAGTACCCGCTGCTCATCCGCGAAATCCGCAAGGCGTCGCGCAGCGCTGAGCTCGCCGACGAGGCAGCGCTGCTGGACACAGCGTACGAGGCATTTTCGGAGCAGCTGGACCGAGTCAACGCCCACAAGCTCGCGGCCGAGAGGCAGGAGCTGGCAGTGGCACTGGTGGGTCGAATGACGGCATCAGCGGTGGCGTCGCTCGAGCTGGAACGCCGGCTCGCCGAAAAGCGGTACGTCCATCATGGAGTGCTGGACAAGATCACGTCTGTGGCCAAGGGCAGCTACCAGACCCGAATGTACGTCCTCTTCAACGACTTGCTCATCTGGTTCAAGGCCAAAGGCAAGGGCGAGCTCGACGACGCGTCGACAAGGCTCGAATTTTGCAAGTCGGCGCCGACCCGCAACGTCCTTGTTAACGACGTGCCTGATCGGACCGACGCCCACGCCGAGATGGAGCACATGTTCTCGGTTGCTGTCAACGGCAAGGACTACATCCTTCGCGCGCCAAACGCCGAAACCAAGTTCACCTGGCTCCAGCACCTGTTTGAAGCCGCCTCGGTCCAGGAGGCATCGCAGAAGAAGCGCTCATTTGCCAATCGCAAGGATGAGTGGAAGGTCCGCGATCGCGAGCGCGTCCGCACCGGCGTTTCAGCCGCCGCTATCATCGAGCTTGAGCGCGGCTTGGAAGGGGCGACTGAGAGTCAGGCCGGCACATCGAAGAAATAGAAAGACTCAGCTGTACCATGCAATACGTTATCCAGATCCCCCCCCCCCCCTTCCCCGCCTCGCCCCCTCTCGCGCGAGCAGATCGGCCAAGTGGAGCCCAGCCTAGCACTCGACTCGAGCCGGCAATGGAGGTTGGTGGCGTTGCTGACGTGGTCAACCTCACCAAGCTAGAGGACATTCAGAAGGCACTGGCAGCCACATCACAGCGTGAGCGCGAGCTAGACTCAGAACTGGATGCTCTCCTAGCGCAGCAGGGTCAGCTGACCAAGCGCATAGCCCTTGTCCGCAAAGCCGTGTACGCCCGTCCTGCCCCTGGTCCTGCCGGCCCTGACTCCTAGCCCCCCCCCGGCCTCCTTCCCATCCCTAGCTAACACTCACTCACACATACACACACACACACGCACACGCACTTGCGCAAACATACTTGTGCACCCTCCCCCGTCCTCCTCCCTACCATCTCTTCTCTTGCACACCTGCTGGGGTCCCGGCTACAGGCCCTCGCTCACCACGGCGCAGCGCGAGGCCCGCAAGGTGGCCGCGCGGGTGGACGACACCTGCACCCTGGCCGAGTCGGTCTCTGGACGGGTCCGCGAGCTCAACACGGCGCTGGAGCGTATCGATGCTACGCTGGAGAGTGTGACGGAGATCCTCAATCTCAAGTACTGTGTCGAGGGCATTTCAGCAGCCATGGATGCTGCAGACTACGAGCAGGCAGCGACGTACGTGGCCAAGTACGCCGCCTTTGACGAGGCTGTGCTTGAGCAGACATCGACCGAGGCGCTCGTCGAGGCACAGGCCCGGCTCAAGACCGAGGTTTCGTCGCAGTTTGCGGCGGCGGTTGAGGCGCTTGATCGTGACGCTGTTCTCCGATTTGGCAAGCTCTTTGCGCCCATCGGACTTCAAGCAGAGGGTGTAGCCGCGTACGCCGGGTACCTGTGCAAGGCCATTGAGTTTGAGTTTGACAAGGTGTTTGAAGGTCTGCAGGCAACGCTGGCAGGGAAGGCGCCTACGGACGAGGAGGAGCCGGCCACCTTTGTCTCGGTTCTCACCCACCTGTACGATCTCACTGCGTTCTGCATCGAGTCGGAAGAGGCGGTGGTGGCTGACATGTTTGGTGGCGCAAGCGAGGCTGGGGGCGAGCCAGGAAGCACGCCAAGTGACAGCGACACGCTGCCGTTCCTAGTCATCCTGGGCGCCATCCAGGCCAAGGTCGACGAGCTGGCGTGCAAGGTGCTCGAGCTGTTCCAGTCGACGCGGTCGCTGACCAAGCTGGCGCGGACAATCTCGTCAGCGTCGATGGCGAGCGGCAAGAGCGGGAAGGGCGGAACAAGCAGCGCCGGCCTCCCGTCGACCAAGCAGGTTGATCTGCTGCTGTACGAGATGGCAACCATTTCGAACCGGACCGAGATGTTTGACGCCTTTCTTCGCAAGACGGCGGCTGGCGCAGTTGGCGAAGGCGACGGGACTGGCGAGGCAGCTGGAAGCGTGGCCTCCGGCCTTGTGCACGTCTCGTCGCTCAACAAAATGGTGCAAGAGATGATTGCGTCGTACCTCTCGCTGGAGATGTACTTTATGAACGAGTCTGTGGCACGTGCGATTGCCATGGACGAGGTCGCCGACGACTCGCACACGTCGTCGATGATCGACGACGTCTTTTACGTGGTCTCCAAGTGCGCACGGCGCTCTGTCTCGACATTTTCGACCAACTCCGTGTGTGCCATGGTCAACAATATCAACTTTGTGCTCTCCGAGTCACTCGTTCCGCTCCTTCAGTCGCAGATCGAGGCGACGGGAGCGTCGCTAACGGCTGCGCTTGAGGCGGCAGGCAAGGGCAAGGGCAAGGGCGGCAAGGACGCGAGTGAGACGGTGCAGCTCAACTGCGCGGTTGTACTCAACAACCTTGATCAGGGAGCCAAGTACATTCCGCAGCTGCGAACGTCGATCGAGGCTGACGTGGCGGACCTCAAGTTTGCGGCGGCAGACAAGGCGAAGATCGAGATGTGCCTGACAGACCTCTCGGACTCTGTGGCGCTTTTCGAGTCTGTGCTCAAGGAGGCCCTGGACAACGTGTCTTCGTCGCTGCAGCCGCGACTCAAGCCTCTCACTTCTGCGCTGCTGGACATTCCGTATGAGCTGAGCGAGGCGCAGTTTGCAGCCAACGAGCGGACAGACCCGTTTGTCTCGTCACTTATTTCGGGGCTGTCTGGGGTTGTGGCGCCGTTCAAGGCTGCGCTGTCTGCGGCCAACTACGATGCGTTCATCGCATCGGTGATGGTGTATGTGGCCCGGCGGCTCGAGTCGGACGTGCGGCGCAAGCGGTTCAATCAGCTTGGGGCGCTGCAGTTTGACAAGGACGTCCGGGCGCTCATTGCCTTTTTCTCGTCGCTCACTTCACGGCCGGTCCGCGACAAGTTTGCGCGGCTGACGCAGATCGCCACGCTGCTCAATGTTGAAGCCGTTGGCGAGGTGATGGAGTACTGGGGCACGCTCAACTGGGCGCTCAAGCCGGCCGAGGTCAAGCGCATCCTGCGGCTGCGCGTAGAGTTTTCGACCAACGATGTCAACGGGCTCAAACTCGAGTAAGCATGCGGCCGAAATGGCCTATCTTGTGCGGAAGCGGAAGCCAAAGGCCGGTGCTGCTGACGTCTGCTTGGGCCGGCGAGAGGAGGAGGCACCAGAGCGACGCGACTTGCGCTTTGGCTGCGTCTGCGGCTGCGAAGGCTCGGGCGCGGCGGGCGTCGGCGGAGGAGCACTGGTTGCCTGCAGCGAGACATCGGTGGCGCCGGGGACCAACGGCTGGCCGTCGGGGGTAAAGAGAGAGGCAAGGCCGTCAAACGAGGCGCGGCCGTCGGGCGCGACCAGGTTGAGCGGGAGGGCGGCGCCGGCAGGGAGCGTTGACGAGCCACCAGCCGATGAGCCTGACCATGAGAAGAGCGACGAGGCCGAAGATGAGACCGAGCTTCCCGATGAGACCGAGACGTTGTCAAGGATAGTCGCCGCTGCCGCCGCTGAGTACTGGGCAGTGGAAAGGCCCGAGAGCTCGACCGAGAGGCCGGTTACCATGTGGACGAGCAAGTTCTCCCACTTTGCGACTCGGAGCGAGAACAGGTACTGGGTGCGGAGGAGGGCGTGGTCTGTGGGAAGCGCGCCGGGCTGAAGCGACTCGGGCCGCAGAGCTCCGAGGAGGCGAACAACCTCGAGGGCGCGCTGCTTCTGCAGCGCCTCGAGGGTGGCACGGTGCTCCGAGCCCTCGACGTGGACCCCGACAGCTTCGAGATCAGCCTCGAGCTTGGCGTAAAAGTCCTTGATGGTGTCGCGGAGGCGCTTGGCCCGCTTCTTGCGAAGGCGGCGAACCTTGGCCTCGGGCTCGTTGATAGCGAGATGGTTGCGAGCGCGCGCAGAGGGCGAGGGCGAGGGCGAAGCTGATGCCGCAGCCGCACCGGACGTGATCTTTGCCGCACGGCGGTCGGCATGCTCGTACATGACGGCGAGCAGCTGGTTGACAGCGAGCTCGACCGAGTTGTACGAGCCTGGGACGGCGGCGGTGGCCGCCCATCCGTAGTATCCGCCGTCCATGACGTACGCGTTGAGCACGTCCTGGTCAACAAGCGCAGCGGGGCAGTCGGTCTTGTTTGCGACAAGCATGATGCGTGGCGGGTCGGCCAGCGAGGCAAAGGCAGCCTCGACAACAAGGCGCCAGCGGTCGACAGCCAGGAGTGAATCGGGATCATCAGCAGCAAAGACCACGAGCACGCCATCAGCGGCGTCGAGGAGCCGGGCCAGGACCGAAGGCGGTGCGGCGAGAGCGGCGGCCGGCACATCCAGCAAGCGGAGGACAAGTGAGGCGCCGACAATGTCGCCCAGTAGTGAATCTTGAACAAGAACTGCGCGGCAGCCAATGCCCAGCGCAGCCTCGTCGTCGGAGAGCAGAGCATGGGCCTCCTCCAGCTTGCGGGCGTTCGAGCCAAAGCCTGGCGAAGCAGCTGCGTCATCGGCGGCGGCCAGCCCGTACGGGGCAGCGGTGCCTTCACCAGATGCAAGCGGAGGAGAAGTAGGGAGAGACGACGATGACAATGCTGGAGCCGAGGCCCGAGTATGTGGGTGGCTGCTGGGTATAGAGGCAGTGACGTGAGGCGGAGCTGACGACGGAGGGTAGGCCCAGACCAACGAGGAGACGCCCACGCCCGGGCCGCCTACCACCAGCAGCGAGAGCGCCACCGTGGCTTGCCGGGTACGGCGTGTGCGACGGTGTACATGGGAGTGGGGAGTGGGGGGGGGGGGGGAGGGGGGAGTAGGGGTGGGCGGAAGGGAGGGGGGAGGGGGGGAGAGGGGGGTTGGGTGAAGTGGCATAGGGGGGGCGACAGGGGTTGGGTTGGGGCAGACGTGGAGGGGGGGGGGGGGGCAATGATGGCAATGATGACGATGATTTTGTTCAAACGAGGGTGGAAGGGGAGGAAGGGCATGTCTAGACAGTAGCCTTCTTCTTCTTCTTGCCGAAGAGACCTCCCTTCTTCTTCTCCTTCTTGGCAGCCTTGCCAGGCTTGCCGCCGCCAGGCTCACCATCGACCTGGTCCTCACAACACTGCATGCACTTGGCGGGGCACTTGAAGCAGCAGCAGCCAGGAATCCAGGCGCAGCGCAGGCCGCAGCCGCAACCACACGGGTGGGCCTCCTCCCACTTGGCCAGCTCATCGTCCTCGAGCTGGGCATCGAGATTGGAGCAGGTGCCGACGGGGTTGTGCGGGAAGCAGGGGGCAACGCGGACGGCGCGGGCCTTGCGCGATTTCTCCGAGTCAAAGTGCGGCGGCGGCTGCGGCTCGTAGGGACGGAAGCAGCAGCAGCCGTTGCAGGCAGCCTTCTCGTCGCAGCAGCAGCGCTTGTGCGAGGTCGACCGCCACCAGTATTTGCCACGGATGCACCACCAGACAAGAATAAAGACAAAGAGGAGGACGACAGCAGCGACACCAGCAATGATGCCGGCAAAGGCCTTGGCCTTGGCCACCTTACACTGCGACTGCGGACCGGTGGTCCACTGAGTTCCGCCCGGGCAGAGGAAGGCCGAGTTGAACGGGCCAGCGGTCGTACCACCGACACAGGGAGCGCCACCACCCGACGATCCGCAGAAACCACAGCCAGGCGCCTCTGCGCACTGGCACGACTGGGCGGCGTTGCCCGCGCATCCCGCAGCCGCCGAGCACTGCGAGTCGATGTTACCCGAGCCCGAAAAGTACCATGTGCTTGGCGTGGCGCACGTCGAGCCGTTGGGTCCCGAGGAAGAGCCCACGCGGCACCCACCGTTAGCCGCTCCGCCATTAGAACCAGCTACGTGAGGGGTGAGGGGTGGAGGGAGTGAGTAGGAGGGGGGGGGGGAGGTCAAGGGGGATGGGGGGGGAGCGGGGCTTGGGTTCCGTAACGGCGCCAAAAGGGAATGATGGCGGGGCGTTC